ATTATTGGATCTGCAAGTGTCTAAAGTAATGAGAACAGGATGACCTGTTATTATTCTCACTTGCTCCAGTTGTAGTGGCGGGCTCTGTTTGGTTAACTTCTTCAGTAGAATCGTGCCCAGCAGTTGTAGATCGTACTCTAGAAGGTGAATGTAGAGGATTACCAAATGATTTGCGAATTTATTACATCTTGAGACAATGCGGTTGCGAATGGATGAAAGTTGGGGACTAGTTGTTAATTCATGCAGAAGGACTTTGGATTTTCACAATCGGGCCAAGAATTTTTACTCGGTGCAAAGGATTAACCACGTTTCAGCCACTTGATCGCGGCCCCTTTTTGGAGATTCTCCTGGAGGTTCACAACAAATTGCCACGCCACGTCTGCTCTAGCTCTTCTGGGAGTACTGCTTGCGGTCTCCGTACCGCAGCAAGCTTGGAGAAACCTGGTACATCATGCCAGTTAGACGATTGTTCATTGGAAGCAGTCTGCTTGACTTGAAGTTTGTAGTCCTGCTGCTTCCACGTGTCCGTGGCGCCACATCAGCTCGAGTGTGCAGGGACAAAGTCTTCGGGCATGATTACGTGCTTAGAGGTTGAAAGCGCGACCGAGTGCTGCGCAACTTGGGACGTCCCCTTGGTTAGGTTTGGCTACATTTGATAGCCGCCGGCCCACAATGACGGGTTTTGAGAAAGATTTCACCTCCTCGGATTCGTTGGGCCTTCAGCCATGGCAGAGGTATGAACACTCTAGGTTCGTCTTCACTCGTCGTCGCCTTTAAATTTATTGCTCTCGATCAAGGCTGTATAAACTCCTTTTGATTATTTGTACTTAAAAAAAACATGCCTTTATGAGGGGACCATGTTGAAAACTGAACAGTCGAGCCTTCGGGCACGTAGAGAACTAACAATTTTCATAAACTGGAAGAACTTCTTTATCCATCAAAGGGAAAATTGGGGTACGTTGAGTGATAATGGATATGAAATTTGGAATATTGGGAAACTTCACATATGGCTAAGTGAACATCAGATCATCATGCTGGATTGGGGCTATCTAAAAGATTATGATTCTTGCCCAAGTTGTAATTATCCGTGTATGAAAATTTAAGATATTAAAAGATTGCACTTGTCGGAGCTACTGGGGGCTGGATGCCTTTGACTTGTCGAGGGTTCACTCGGCCAGGTTCGACTGTTATCGTTTTTAAAGTGCATGTAACGTGGCGTAATGAGTGAGGGAGTGTCTAAATGAGGTGCAGATCCATCATTTTGAGAAGACAAGAGCTCAGAACACAGAGATTCCACATTACAGTGAGGTTTCCCAGCTCAAAAGTGGCCAGACACGTATGCCAGTTTCTGGTAGAGCCCGGTGACTTGATAAAAAAGACATATGCAAGAATGCCAGCAGCTTTATTTCTTCCAGTCGCTACATTCACAGCAGCTTTGCTTGTTGTAAAAAAAAGGAGGAGCAATAATCTGTTTATTTGTCATCACGTTGAACTTTAGGAGTTGTGCCAATAAAAACCACCGGAAGTGAAATAAACTAATAGTTTGGAGACCCGATATCAATGGCAGAGACTTATACAAATGATTGAGAGACTGAGATCTCACTTTTGAGCTCGGCAAATGATCACGAAGGGTCGTGCTCCGTCACAAAGCCCCTGTTAATTTGACTATCCACTCTGAGTCCGGAAACAAACACAGAAACACTCCTCCCCACACACAGTAGTTGACCAAACACGAAGGAGGAGGTTCCCCAAAAAAGTCGATTGCCCCTTAGACCCCTTTGAAGGCTGGGCGAGAAACCCCTGATGCAAAAACTCGCTCACGAAAATGAAAAATTCCGGATATTTAGACATAAATTCGTCATCCACTGCATAGGAAACTTAAATGAAGCCCAAGAGACAAAGTCCCATCTTCGAGACCACGCCTTTAAATGTGTGTCTAAAAACACCTGCTAAGATGCCAAGGATGCTCCGATGCTGAGGATGCTAGGCCCCTCGGCATGTGATGGTGTTGCGCGAGCAGTAAAGCAGTCGTATGTTCTGTACGGCACCCCTCTCTTCCCTTTATCTTCCGTTGTCTCTTGGGATGTAGATCGAGCAGCTCTACAGGCCCCATCCGGGCTTCCGCACTCTACTGTCTGTACTGTCTAGCAACCCTCCAGTTCCACTTTCGGCTACAGATGGTTCCCACCTCCGTGCACTCGCTACTCGTCGGCTGCGAGGCACCAATATTCTCGCACTTTCCGGGTTTTTCTTCCCCACTCTTCCCCCGGTTGACTATGCTCCCTCCTCTTCTACGAATAAGGTGAGGATTGTGTTTTTCGAAGCCATTCCTCTACACATATGCCCAGATCGGTCTGCTGGCTGGAGATCGATCACTAATTCGGACGCGTGGAACCAAAGAATTTCGAAGTACCAAACGAAATTAGACTTAAAGTAATAGTGAACGAAGGGCATTCCGTTCCGAAAGGCTCGCAGGTTATTAGGGAACCAGATTCCGTCGGAAAGATTCATCCAAAGTCCATCCTTTGGACGAGTTGAAATGCTCGAATAATCAATCGGATGTGAACTCCGACCACGTTATGCCAATGAAATGACATGTGTAGAGGAAAGTAAAGAGTGGAAGGAAGGGTGTCAAGGTCTGGATGCCTCAGGCGACCGAAAGTACGCTCCCCTTCAGAAGCAGTAGACGGTGCATGACGTGGTCCTCCATGAGCCGGGGCTGCTCCAACTGCTTCCACCTCCATGGCAGACGCTTCAATATGGCCAGATTTTCTGGCTTCCTACTGCCACTTACTTCTACTACCACTACTACGATTACTAACCAGAGGGCTGGGATCGCTTTGGGAATTGTAATTTCAGGTTTACTTTCATTATGAACTATTTAAGTTCTCCTTCACTAATTGGCGATTAAACGCTTTGGAGTTTCTTCTAACGTTGCCACCCCTCCCATTCGCACGTCGGGACCTTCCTTTGACGCACTACGCCTGCGAGTGGTAAACCCGAGCGTAGTCAACGCCATGGTGGAGTCATGTTCCTTGAACTTGCTTCATACTTGTTGAATCAGATAGTGTGAATGTGGCCACATACTTATAGGATACGAGAAACCAGAGATCTAGTGGACGTTCGGGCCTTCGTGGCACGGGATCGAACAGATAGACAGATCCAGTCATTTGACTTCAGAGCTTGTAGCCCACATATTGTGGTACCCAACGATGGAATCTTCTTCGAGTGCCCTCTCATTTCACCAGAGATTCTCCTTCGCGCACAGTACATCTCATATGTTGCGGGTGCTCTGTACTGTATATGCATGTAATGAGTTCCAAATAAAAGGAAATACAAAACAATTTCGACATGATTGTCGGTAGGCGTTCCGAAAGCAGAAAGATGCACGAAGAGGAGCAGTGCAAAGAGAGAGAGAGAGAGAGAGAGGAGAAAATAATGAAGACTCTGAGCACGCACGCAGCCAAGCGATGGCCTTCACATTTGGCCTGCACGATTGTATGCAGGATTGTATCCATGCCCTTGTTCTGCCTCCATCGCTGCCATTGAGTGCTGGAGTACGTCGGTCAGCATAATTCCGAGCTTCTCAGAAGGGCTGCACTTTTCGCGTCAAGTTCCTGTACTCGAGTCCGGTCCTCCGCGCACACGGATAAATGCCCACGCTGGCAGCCGGAGCGGGTGATGACTGGTCGGGTCGGGTCGGCTTGTAGGCCTCATATCTGAGACCTAAGCGCGCAGATATTGTTCGATATTGCTTGCGCAAGAAAGCGGAATGAAGCGAAATCCAGCCTCAATTCTAAGAGGCGCGGGCCCAGATGCGGTAAGCCGAAGCCGTGCCGGAACGCCCTCTACATCTGGACGCTTGCCAAGTTTAGAGGCACGTCCCTCGCCGAGCGCACCAGAGGCCGTTTCCGTCCATCCTTTACCACTGACTCATTTCTAAAAGTTCAGCCGCTGGCAGTGTGGAGGGTTTTGTCAGGTTGACCGAATGGTAGCCAGCCCCATGCCATGCCATGCCCCATCGCTGAATATACTCTCCATGTGGCGATGGATGGATGGATGGGGGGATCCATCCCCCATGTGCTCGCTCGCTCGCGAGGGCTTGTGGATAGGATTCGCAAATTAGCGCTCGAGAACGACCTCTTTCCTACAGTGCGCGGGTGCATATTGCAGCAGTGCGTTCTTGTACGATGCGACTCACGGGATGCCCAAAGAACAAAGGCGACCCGACCCGACCCAGGAGAATAAAGAAAAGAGGGATTCGATCTCGTGGGGCGTATTTTCAACGATGCTCGATCAGCAGGAGCAACAGGAGCAACAGGAGCAGGAGCAGCTGTACCTTTGTTGCCCTAAAATTGTGACCCGATTGGGAAGGACTTTAATGAACATGCGCTCCTGCAGGGCATCGCAGCCATGAGGGGGTGGGGTGTGCCCGGGGGGCAGCGGAAGGGCGGGCTAGGAAAAGATTGAAGCATCGATGGATGATGATGCATGATGATGAGGTGATCGGGTCGAACGAACGTCATACCGTCAGAGTCAGAGCATGTAATTATGCGTATGCTGTACGCCGCGTAGCAGCCGCACAACCGCGGGCAATGAATCCAACGGTTGTATCTGGGCTGCAGACGCGACACGTGGCCGGGTGGCCCGACGGAATATTTCGCCATCCGGTGGCTGGCCCGCGATGCCGGTTCGGCCGAGCGCTTCTCCTCGAAGGCTGCCCAAGGACCCAGGGTTCTTTCTGACCACGCCAAGTGTTCCCGGCCTGTTCCGAGCCGGTTCCCGGCTCTCGGTTCTCCATCGAACGGCTCTGGGAATCGTGGAGCTTAACCCTCGGGACGCATTGGACGAACGGGCCGACTCTGTAAAGGGCGAGCGATTACGATCGCATTAGTGGCTAATTAATCCGGATTTGCAGCGGGAGTGGGCCTCTGTGGCGGACCAGAGCGCGTGGAAAGGAGGGGCTGCGACTCTGCGGGAAAGCAGCAGAGGAACTCTAATTTCGTGCTGATGAAGCGCAAATGATCTGTGAGGAAGGAAAAATTTCGAGGAATTTGCGAGGAAGGAGTGAAAGACGCAGAAATTGGTCTGGAGCAGATTCCTTTCGCTGCAGCAGTAGCAGTGCTCGCAGTAGCAGCAGCAGCAGCAGCAGGCAGGCAAGGCAGGCAGCAGCATCAACAACAGCATAGGAATAGCAAAGGGCAGCGTCACGCATCATCCTTGGGGCCTCCTCCTCCTTGTAGAAAAGAGCGCTCGCGCCATCAGAATTCCTGAGAGGAGACAGATAGAAGAGGTGTGACTTTGTTGTGCAGCAGAGAGGGTGTAGAGCAGAGTAAGCAAAGCAAGGAACAACAAAAGCAACAGCAGTGGTGGTGAAAACAACAGGCGGATTGGTTGATTGATTGATTGATTGTTCTGATAGATTGATTAAGCGAGAGCGAGGGTGGGAGACAGACAGAGACAGAGAGGGAGCGAGGGAGAGACAGAAATAAAAAGAAAGAAGCAAGGTTTGCGAGAGGGTTGGAGTCGAAGAAGGGTGGGAAAGGCAGCAACTGGGAGCACGTACCCGAACGACAGCAAGCAGCTAAGGCGTACAGAGTGATAGATGGGGCTGCTGTGAGGTGGAAAGAAAAGCGATTCATATATTTGACCAACTTGGAGAAACAGCGAAAGGGTGAAAGTCGTAGTTGTAGGAATTCTTCAACCATGCGTGGAAGATCTCGAGGAAGAACGAGCTGGAGTTTTCAAAGGCACCAAGAGCTTGAAGGTAGGAACGAGTTCTCTCGTACGGGAATTTGCTGCAGTTTCGTGTCTTTCTTCTCCCTCGGACGCAACTTCATTGCCTGTTGATCTTCTCTCACACGAGAAATTTCACCCGGTAAATCCCCTCTGGTTGCCACCCTTATTAGTCCTCCTCCTCCACCCTGAAGCTTCATTGGACATTATTTCCTAGGACTGCCATATTTGATCACGCATTCATTGAAGTGCACCAATCGGAATTAACGTTTAGGCATCTGTGAGCTCAGAGATTGCAACGGCATCCGGGGTTTTCGCTGCTCCCTGCCCTCGATTTTGTCGAGAGCATGAATATTTCGCCCCCGTTGCCGTCGGAGCTCGAACAGCGAAGCCGAGCGGCTCCATTCCCGCATTTATCGTTCTACCGCAATTGACAATCGGGACGACGGTAACTAGCTGCCTAGTCAGAGGAAAATGTCGCATGGTTGGTTGCCTGCCAGCCCGTCCGTAATGGCATCGACATTGGTGGCGCTTTTCCGAACAGTCATCGTGGGCCTAGTTCAGCACAAACCCAAAGTTGCATGAACCTGCGTTAGCGCATCAACCGCGGTGTTCGTGAGGCCAGACCGCGGCCTGCGGTTAGGGGGTCATCGGGTGGGTGCCCTGAGAGTAGGCGAACCGCACGACAGCTGCTGACATTCGCGACGGCAAGCCATTCGTCGTAATGGCTTCCAGGGGCGACGCCTCGTCCGTGGAGTGGCAGTCAGTTCTTGTCGTCTGCGCAGTTCAGAGCTACTAGGAGCTTTTTGATCTCTCAGGATTTGTCCCAGCGGGCCCGTCTTCTCGAAGCAATCGCTCCCTTTTGAATCGTGGGTGTGGCCGTCGATAGGGAGCTTCCCGAGGATATGTTAGAGAGAGAGAGAGAGAGAGAGAGAGAGAGAGAGAGAGAGAGAGAGAGAGAGAGAGAGAGAGAGAGAGAGAGAGAGGAATCACTAGATGTGCTGCACGAGCGGTGAAATAGGTCACTGACGTCAGTGAAGGATTATCTGGCTCGGTCGTCCGAGCTGAGCGGATTGGATCGCCAAAAGGTTTCGGCCCACGCTCGGTGACAACGGGAATGACGTGCATGAAGTGTATGTGTGTAGCAGAGGCGGTGCTCGAGGCCCAGCAGCAGCAGCCAGTGATGGCTGCCTGCAAACGCCGTTGTTTAGACGATGTGTCGCGCATCGTGTTCAATAGGAGGTTTTGCAGGAGAGCGCGGAGCAACTCAGTTGGCCTCAGAGCTGCGCTTGTTTCAGGGCATCCGCCCCGCTGCGACGAGGGGAAGCATGATTGGGGAGGAGGAGAAAGGACTGGTGGTTCGGTGGTCGAGGATTTAGCTTAGCGATGGATTGTGCCGCATATTTTCCTGAATGTAGTCTGGCGTGCTGTTGTCGTGCAGGTCATTGCAGCAACGATTGTCCCTGTCGAGCCTGTTGAGGTACAGAAGAAGAGAGTCTGCGGAGCTCAGCACTAAGCACTCAGCACGTCCTCGCCCGCCCGCCCTACCTATCAACGCCATCGATTGCGCGAAACAAACATAACCTCACAGCGCGTCCATTCAATGGTGGCATCGTCCGAATCAGAGACATGAAATTTCAGTGGTTGTTCCGTCGGAAAAGTGGTGAGCGCAAATTGGAATTGAAGGGCGGCCAGGGAAAGATGGGTGCCAATTTGTCCTATCGCAAGCGCCTGATGGACCCGAGTCCGCTGCGAGCCCTGCAGAACCAGCAGCGGGTGACCCCGCTGGCTTCCGAGGACGGCGAGGGCAGCAGCCGCGGGCGCAGCACTCGCGGCGAAGGCAGCAGCCGCGGGGGCAGCCGCGGGGGCGGCGAGGGCAGCAGCCGAGCGTCGGTGGACAGTATTGTGCGCGTTGGGTCCGACACGAGCGACGAGACGACGTCCGAGGACGGTGGCGAGGATCTGAGTGTGAGCTTTGGATACCACTGTCGGGACGATACTGCTTTGATGGAGGAGGAGGAGGAAGATGTTGCGCCTCTGGCGACGATGATGACGACGACGACGACGACTGCCCCTGCGACGACGACGACCGCAGCTGGGGATCACTTGAGTGTCGGCGTGCCTGCGGCCGCAGCAGCATCCATCTTCTCCCCGGAACACTTGCTCATGTCTCCCCCATGCGCCACAAAACCGTTTTCGAAAAAAAGTAGATCGTTTTCTTGCTTGACCGGAGCTGCACTGAGCGCCAATGCCACTTTGGCCAACACCACCATTTGCAATGGTCTGATCGGGGAAGAAATTCTGCCGGGCCTCGATTCTCCTCGCACGTTTCGGAAGTTGAATTCTTCAGCGTCGACTACAATGTTGGAACTTTCGAGGGGGTCCTCTAACGCCACCCATCAATCTGCTTCTTTCCCTCCTGCCTTCCCTGCCGAGTATGGAAGCGATCACTGTCAGGAAATGGACAACCCTTCTTTCTTGGAAGCAGGCGATGTTCAAATGGCCGGCGGAGCTGCTGGTGAGGACCGTGTGCAAGCCGTGTGTTCGGAAGAGAACGGCTGGCTCTACTGCGGTATCTACGACGGTTTCAACGGACGAGACGCAGCCGACTATCTGGCGGGAACGTTTTATGAAAATGTCGGATTGCACATGAAATTGGTGGAATGGCATGTCCAGAGGGAGTCGGTGCGGGAGCTCAGAAGTCCTTACATCTTGGAAACTCCTCATCTGGAAGGCGGAATTCGGGACCCGATAATTACAGACGATTGTATGGATTTGCAGCTCGCCGGTGAACCCGATTTTACCATGTATGACGAAAACGAAGTCCAGCAGCAGGCTATGATGCGAGGATTGATGCGAGCTTTTAACCAGACTGAAGGAGATTTCTTGTCTATGGTGGAACAGGAGATGGACGAGCGTCCGGAGCTTGCCATGGTAGGCTCATGCGTTTTGTCTGTACTTATCCACGGCAAGAATCTGTACACTCTGAACCTGGGTGACAGTCGTGCTGTGTTGGCAACCTACTCACCCCAAAAGTTTAACAAAGGGAGGTGCGATGGCGACCTCTATGCTGTCCAGCTAACGGAGTCTCACGTGGTTGATAACGTTGACGAGAAGCAGAGAATTTTAGCAGAGCACCCTGATGATCACACGGCCATCTCAGGTGGACGACTCAAAGGGAAACTCAAGGTCACTCGCGCTTTTGGGGCAGGGTATCTGAAGAAGGTAAGCAGGCTGTGAGTTTCCACGATTCCCCCCTGTTTTCGCCTTCGAGTGACTGTTGTGATCCCTGTTTGAGAAGTGTTAAACGTCTTTTTTCTTATCCGTGCAGGCCAAGCTGAATGATGGTTTGATGGGTATCCTGAGAGTTAAAGATCTGTACACACCTCCCTATCTTGGTACAGTCCCCTGCGTGAGTGCACATGCGGTAACTTGTGATGATGTTTTCGTGGTTCTGGGGAGCGATGGTCTTTTCGACTTTTTCACCAATGAGGAGGTGGTGAATCTTGTGCATCACTACATTTTGGACTATCCACACGGAGATCCTGCTAAGTACATGCTGGAGCAGCTTTTAAATCGCGCAGCTCTAAACGCAGGTACCGGTCATCACTGAAGAAAGCCTAGTGGGCCCCGGACCCCTTTTTTTTTTAAGACGAGTCATTTACCAAGTCACTAAACTCGTCCTAATTACAACCGCCACGACTTTCCTGCGCGGAATGATGGTTGGCGATAGAACTTGGCCTTAAATTCGCAACAAAGTTCTGTTGTGAAATGTGATTGCAAGCGTTAATGGGGCCGAGTACTTACCTCAGAGCTCAGTCTTCAGTTCATAGCCTGAATATTCGCAACGGAATAATTTCATATTGTGCTTGATAATTTTGCCCGAGACTGTGAAGTTACCTGCTCTTAGTTCTTCGAAGAGGATGGTATCTGGTAACTAAGTAGCTGCTTCTTGTAGATGCATTTAGGTGCTATTTTAATGCTGGCCCCTGCTTTCAGATGCGGCTGGTGGTTGACGCAGTGGTTTATGTTTTTGTCTTGACAGACATAACAGTGGAGCAACTGAAGACCATTCCCATCGGTAGGAGGAGGAAATACCACGATGATGTCACCGTTATTATAATAGTGTTGGGAACCGAATTTCGTACTTCTTCGGCGTCGACTGAGTCTTAGTTGAGGTGGAATGAAGCTCTCGCCCATCCAGAGAGGGACCTCGTTTTTAAGCAGGAAACAGAATCTCTACACTTCTCTCAACTGATCAAGAGTAAACTTTGGTCGTCAACTGGAGCAAATTTTTGGAAGTCAGCATGCTAAAGCACGTGGGTAGTGCAACCGTGCGTACAGCTCCTCTCTGACACACGGCACCCAAAGCACATCCATGGCGTTCGGAACTGAGCTTGTAACAAAGTGAGAGTTCTTTTTCTGTGATAACCGGTGCGTGAAGTATGTGGCGCATTGCTGCATATAGTATATATTTTCGATCCAAAATCTTTTTGGTTCCTCTCAAAGTAACAGACCGACCTGGTATGATTTCCCACCCTCGCGCATGAGAAAGGAAGATAAGGAAAGGCAAGCTTGCTTGAGTTGTACATTAACTTGTAGCACGAGGGTCGTGAGAGTGTTATATTCCAAGACATCTAGGGTTACTTCAGGACTATTTAGTTGTAGTGCCAAATGCTTCTCCATCCTTGTGGGTGGGCCTCACTGCTTGTAAGAGTCTCCAGACTTCAGTGGCTCAACAACCATATCTATACTAATTTATGTATATATTTAAAATTCCGCTTTGGAAACAAACTAAGCGGAATTAGCACAGACTATTCTTGAGCCGTGGAGTGTGCGGCAAGCCCTCTCCTGGCATTGTTGTGAGGTCTGCTTGTTCTGTTTACTAGCTGCAAAGCAGTTCAATGAGATTGTTCTGCGGATACTTGTCAGCAAGAGCAGTAATATAAAGCATTCTCACTGCAAACCTTCTTGTACCATGGAGTTTGATGAAATCTTTTGAATGATGGAGTGTTATGTTACTGCCTTTTAGCTCAATCTTAGAGTTGACTAGTTCTATCATCTTGGCTCTCACACCGTTTTGGCTCAATTGCATGGCTTCGTAGGGATTATCTTAGTCTCAAAGTGAAACAGGAAAACCTTCTTCCCATATGAATCATTTGCAGGTTTTCTTCCGGTTTCAAGGACGGAACAACTGCTTCCAACTTCCGCTGCTCTTTCTCACACCTCACATGAACGCAGGGGTTTTCAAACATCACTCATCTCAGGCACATCACCAGGTGCGGCAGTTGCATACTTGGTCCAAACATCGTCAACTGGACATCAATTAGATCGGGTCTGTGGCAATCGAAGGTGGGCGTTGACATATCTAAGTCACCCTTCAGGCTCATGGGATGCCAATCTGCGAAGTGTACATGAAAGGATTCGAAGTACATGAAGGATATTTCTATTATCTTTGCAAGCTCAATAATGCCATGTGCCGATGTGGGAAATTGAATTCTGTTTGCTCAGACGCTCTTTTTTGAGGGCTTATTTGTTCGATAGAGTAGGGATATTTAAGACGTTCATCGATCTGCTGGGCAGTCGAATGCTGTCAGTCAGGTGGAATATTTTCAGGGTTTCCTTGTTTGACAGAGTAGGATAATCAAGATGCGCCTATTCGGGCTCTTGTTGCAATCTTAGATGTGTTTCTTCGTCATGTACATGAAATTTATCCCTTGAGATACATAGAAGATAAAGCGGAACTGACCAAATCAGAAGTTGCCGAGTTGGAGAAGTTGCTGTTGCTATTATAGTCACCTTGGTGATAATGCTTGTTCAAGCATATCACACCCAGTTTTGCAACTTTGCAATTATATGAACTTACACGTTGGAAAGCGGTACAGCTCTAAAGATTTAAACTTAAAAGCCCATGACTTCCTGACACTTGTTTTGTTATATGCGTGAATTGTAGTTTGGAAACTCCTCCTTGGGTCAGTCAGCAGAACATACACAGTCCTCCGTTTTTAGGACTAGAACCACATGTTTGGAAAGGCAGAAGCGTTTGCCAGTACGCCATAACTATTACTGACGTACTCATGTTCAATTTTTTCTTTACTTTGCTTGTTAGTCAAATTAAGAGGACAACGTAAGAAGCACATGTAACTGCGAAGGGTGGAAAAGGCCGTACTTATTTTTTCGAACAAACTTATGTTGCATACTGTTGAGTGTATTTCTGCGGGTTGCAGTTGACTGGCCTCCTAGCAAGCAAAGTCTTTCACAAACCTTTACTAAAAGCGTTCTTAGCGCTACGTTTCTAGGGTTTAGTCAAAGCATACAGACGCATCTAAGAAGTAATGCACAGTGATATACACTCGTGCCGCTGAAAACCGGATCTGCTGTAGAACTTAGATTCTCTGTGAGCGTAGATTGTCAAAATCTTACAAGGATTATAGTTAAAGTTATACACCGAGCCCATGATGATACTGTTGTACCTGACACGATATCTAACTCTGGTATAAAACTAGAGATTCGCACCGTGTAATGTTGGTCAACATTCGATCAAAACTAAAAGGTCCAGCAGTTTATTACTGGAAGGCGCACACATAGCCAAGCCACTTGCAAATGAACTCGGCCTTTGAGTTGATCACTACCAGCACATGGGTGGAATATCAACGTCCTCTAATTTGAGGACCTTCAGTCATTGAGAAACACAGAAGAGTACATTTATGAGACTCTGGCAATGTGCTGTCTCTCTCACCGACATTTTACGGTACATCGACAGTCTCCAGGATCTCTGTTCAGCGTATGTAATGGTGATGCATTCAGTGAATGTGAATCCCAGTCCTGAGAACGAGTTGTTTATACGTACCCCTTGATATTTGTGCTTTAAAGCTGTTATCAATGGACTTTCCTGCAGGGGACGTCCACCATGCATGCATGTGGCCTCGGAAGTCAGTCGAAACACTTAGACTTCGGAAGTATCACAAGCGGATTACACTTTTGAGAAATGCTTAACTAAAGTCAAGCGCAATGCACTATCCTCTGCGTGTCAGCTATCTGCAATATCATCGCATGTAAAGTTCAGCATACAAATGTATGTCGAACTTTACAGTTTGTATACTACGTAAAGAGAACGTTGGAATGCCATTTGATTTTCTGCATCAAGTGGACGTTACATTCGCATGTGACAAGAGTCTTATCATCGGAAATGTAGTGACTCTGTTGTTCACACAGTCAGGCTGGACTGTTGGAGTTAGTGCCGGTGTACAACGACCTTCATTCCTTTAAGGTTCTCAAGGAAGAGAAGTAAACATCTTCACATGAACGATCGCAGTGAGTGAAAAGAAAAAGAGATCCAGTTACATAATAACACAGTACCTCTTTTCAGAAAATGAACGTCTTCGCTCATGCTATCATCCGAAAATCCACCATGCAGGCTCCAGGGTACTCTAAAAGCTTTCCACAAGTGGTTATTTTATCCCCGCGGCTACGGTAGCCGCATTTACCGTGTTTTTGCTCTCATTGCTCCAGTCTACTCGTGGCCAGGATTTGTTGATTTGGTGGTCAAAAGTGCGGATGGGCGCTCCATCCGGCATTTCTGTGCAGGAAGAATCAGAAAGGGTTCGAAAATGCCTGCCAGTTCCTAGGTGACGAAACCTCAACTGCACCAGAGTTGGCAATTTTTGTCGACGTGTCGGGACTCGAGCATGGGAGGTTTCCTCTTTCACAAATTTCAAATAACCTTTTCTCTTGGAATTGTCGGCTCATAATCCGCTCGCTCTGTTCTCATCGCGCGTGCTCGTCATGACGTCAGGTTGCACATGTGCGCCGCTCTTCTATTGGCTGACAAACGAAGGAAAGGACGGATCTCCGACGTTACGAACGGCACAACATCTTCATGAAAAGTCTTGGAGATATGGAGGAGGTCGAGTCTCGACTCTCGAGATCTTGTCTGACGCATGCTGGCCATTGACCGGTCACCTCTGCGTCGGAACTTTTCCGCGGAGCATGCACATGAGTAGGACACGTAGACTGGCTCTCGCATCCCTTACCCAGTCCCGTAGGTACAATAGGGGTTCTGGATGTGAGAGTGTCGTGGTAAAAGCCACCCCGACCCTAATCGATTAACTTCATCCACCGCAGCGTACGCAGTCAATATCATGGACTGGTCGCTCTCGTGAGAGTTTTAGAGAGAGAAAGAACCTCCTCATCCGCGCCAGAAGATTCGTGCACGTCAGTCCCAGCAGATGTCCCTTTGCTGGAGCTTGAGCACTTTTGCTAAACTTTAATTGTAAGGTCAAGTTCAGCTTTACAGAAATTTTGAGAAGGGGATGCAGACCAAGGTGTACAAATGTACATGCAAGGCTGTCTCTCGGTGCTGCAGCAGGAAGTTTGTGCCCGGAGGTTGAAGCAGTTCATCAGACTCTTCGATATCTTTAGAAAGTACCGATATCGTTACACGTGATTTCTTCCAACTCAATCGCAGGACGTCGTTTAGATTGGAATTGCCGACAGCTGAACTACTGCCTTTCGCTATGACAGCGACTTCAGTGACTGGACTGCTGTTTCTAGGGTTTTGAGAGTTTGGAGCCCCGAAGGCAAAATCCTTGCCTATGTCTCACATGAAATTGTTAAGGATTGAGGGAGAAGTACGTTCTTTCACTTGAGGTTTGTCCTTCGAAAAAAACTTCGTGGTAGATGTGGCTCAAATGACGAAAGATTGGAGCCCCAAATTCATTCTCCCTGAAAATTTCTCTCCCTATAAGTTTCTGCCTCGCTTTCGCGGAATGTGCTTCATTGTCTTCGTTCCTTTGGAGAGATACATTCTTGGCATTTGATCTCACTTGGTTGATTGCTTGCATTTTCTTAATGATGATGCGATTTCTTCGTATTTGCATGGTTTCTGAAGTTTTTAGCAAAGATGTGATTTGTCAGTGTCGTATGAAGAGTGAGGAGATGTACCTGTCGACTGCTGGGTTTTCTTAATTTTAATCTCCACTTGCACTGGTTTGGTCGGGCTTTCTTCTATTGGATTCCAAACGCTGGTTTCACTGGCCGGACCGAGAGATGCTCGACACGATGGCAACTGAAGAACTTGAATTGAGGAACTCCGTTGGCAGCTCAGCTTCAACAGTTTCCTCCATCTTAATGCCGAACGATGAAGGCAACAGATGTGTGGCACTGCTCCTGCCCTTCGAAGTTATAAGAAGAGTATTCTCGCAGCTGGACTACCGTGACCTGATTAATTGCTCTCTTGCTTGCAAGTACGTGCCACTCCTTCCAAACCTCTTGATCTTGCCAGTGTAGAATTGTGCCGTGAGATTCTGTGTTTCATCACAATTTTTGCTTCTCTCTCTTTGGCCTATACGCGAACGTCCCTGGGGAACGCGTCCTCCCAACAAAATTCTTATGCTGGATCATCCACAACTCACATTTTAGCTCCAGGGGGCGTAACCTCGAGAGCAGGTCACATTTCTAGTTGAATGGCATCTACTTCATTTTTCACTCCTTTCATAAGATTCATCAGGCCTAGACATGGAAACTGATAAGTACTATTAGTATGGGAAGGTTTTGTAAATTTTTTCGAGGGTGTATTAAGCATTCATCATTCCTTCTCCTGTGTGTCGTCATTCCACTTCATTTTAGGACTAGACTCTTTTTTTTACGAGTGACTACACGTGGAGCTCCTCATGTAAACTTATTGTATGCTACGGATTGTTAGTTGAAGGTATGAAATTGGTTTCTCAGAGTTATATTTTCTAGTATCAGACGAGAAGATTTCCAGCAAGTGTTGGAACTCAGTTGTACGCAATGATCCGTGTGCGCAGGCAGTGGCATGCAGATTCAGAAAATCTTAGGGAAGGATGGAAAGAAGAGTATTGGGAAGCTTGCTCTGTGCGTGGTTTGATTCAGTGGGATTCTAATCCTCCTCGAGCTCGTTACGATGCCTATCTCGCTTGCAGCCCAGATTAAGGTCATGCAATGAAGTTGTTGTGAGCTTGAAAAACACTTTGGTGCTGTGGAAGCACTCCGCTTCATAGAGGCTTCATAGAGGACTACGAAATATCTCAATTCGAAGAACAATTCTAAAGGTCCTGTCCACTTTCTAAGTTCTGAAAGGGATTAGCTGGAAATCAATTTATGTAACCACTGAGGTTGGTACCTCATTTGAAGATCAATGGTTTTTGTACTCCTACCGAGGTGTTTTCGAATTGTGATGGACTCGAGAACTTTCTGGTGTACTATTGACTCTGTCGTGAGCTGTGGCTTAAGTCCCTCATTTAGTTAAAAGAAACAGTTGATCCCGTGTTAAATTAGCACCAAAGGTCTTGAAGTAAGTGAATATGCGGAACTTATTGGCTCATTTCAGGTTTGTCATATCTATAATGTGCGCAGTATGTATATGCGTTATTCATGTCCACCCACGCGCAATGGTATGAAATAAAGGCCAGAAAGAATTGGTATTCCAGAACTTTAGTAATATTTATCACCTTAAAAAATAGTTCCCTTTTCAGTCATCATACACTAATATCAAACGAAACTAAACGCATCAATTTTTTATGTTCTCTTTAGTCATTCAAAAACCAACTATCGTTATCTTTGTAGATATACAATCAACACACGGACGCTTAGTTTAGTTTAAATCTGAAGTCTTGATCAAAAGCTATCTGTCAACACAGTTAAAGTTATTTTGGTGAATAGTGGACTCCTAATTTACAATCATCTAAATTGCACTCTAAAAAATACCAATTTGGTCTATTGAAATTCAACTCGAATTATTTTCAGACAACAATAGGATCATTAGCAGATAATTTTAGTGTTGAATTAAAACAATGTACAAATAGTTTTAAAGCAATCATTCTGGCATATTATTTCTATATTTTGAAAATTATGTAGAGGAAATATATATTTCATTTTTAGAATATTTCCATAATGCAAAATAGTTTCACAGATTTTGGGATTTATCCCTGTAATACATGTACATAAATATATATATTCAATATCAATTATTTTTCTTAATTTCAATTTGGTGATTTTCAAAAGATTAATTCAACCATAATGTAATTAATAATTTTTTTATCTTGTACATAATATGTAAGTATATATTTTTTCTTTTACAATATTAAATCATTATTATTTTCACATCTCTACAAGAGATTTGAAAATAGACATCATAAATGGGGATGATATGATATAAAAAACTATATAAATTTCATTAAATTTCATATGAAATTGGTGATGTAATAACATTGACATCAAATATTTCATGTAAGAAAATAATATACTTTCACCTTGAGTTAAAATTTATGATGTTTACAACTAAAATTGAAAAAATTTAAGATATTAAAGTAAAATCATTGTGGATATTGTAATTTGACTCATAAATGAATGTTTTTAAATATAACATAATTCAACAAAACATTAAAAAATGTAAAATAAAACTATACATTTCATAAAATTCAATACTTGGTTTCATTAGATTGATGCACTAATTAGTTTATAACATATTTACAAATGAAAAAAAAAATCCTTTTATAGAGAAATTTTCTATGATGATTTTTTTTTTCTAGACAAACATTCAAAATAAAAAATTCTAACAAATTTAATTTTTAAAATCTAAATATAATTTGATATTGATAAATGATTATAATTTCTCCAATGTAAATTCATATGATCACTTCTATATTAAAAATATATGTATTTTGTAAATTAAAGTATAGACAAACATTATACATACTTGTATTTTGAATAAATCATTTAGTGCATACTTTTATAAGAATTGTAAAAAACAAAAAAATATTTAAAATAGAAATACAATGAAATAAAATTACATTTGATGAAATTATATCATGAAACGGTATTTCATAAAATTGTTTAAAATACTATTCAAAGTATCCATTTTTAACTCAGCAATAATATTTCTTGTTTGATATACAATGTTTATGCACATTCAATTCATGATTACACATAATCATGTTGCATAATTAGATATTTGAAAATTTCAAAAAATTAATTTACACATAAATAATGCTTTTGCATCCCATGATTAGTATTATGTATGTTAAAATAAACTCCATCTCAGGTTCCATTTTGATTAACTGGAATTAAAGTCAAGCTTAGATTTAATCCTAGTTAAATTATAATTAGCATTTGTGCTCCCTATGTATGGCTTATATCGAGCATTGATCACTTTATCAATGTCCAAAAAATAAATTTGTTGTTTTTGTGGATGTAATCTAACAAAAACAAACCACGTATCTTCTTGTAAACGTCATATTTGTGTAAATATTTTATTCTTTTATATGTGTTTGTGTGTTTTCAAGAAGTTTTGTTATCTTGATTCTACAATTGATATTAAAGCTTTTGGTAATCATTTCTTTGATCATGAAGGTGTAGTAGATGCAGAAAGACATTTGCTTTTGATGAAGTTCATGTTCAAGTTGGCGAAATGCAAAGACCAAGTCTTGGTAGCGACTTCAATTAAATAAGTATATTGAAACTAGAAGTCAATATTTAAAAAAACATGACTTGTTATGCGGCATGATTTTAGTTCACTCAAGAATATCTTCAAGCAATTTCAAATAAGGATAACATCACAAGAAGTCTTGTTGATTTATAGTTGTTGTTTTAGAATTTCAAGTCCTTTTAATATCAATCAATCACAAATGTACTTTCAATATTTCTTGTTTTCATATATTTAAGCTCGTTACAACAATTGGTATGATTATTGCGTATTAAGTTAATTAACTTTGACTTACAATGTTAAATTGGAAAAATATTTTATAGCAAGTTGTGAGCATAGTCATACTACATATAGAATCTTTGATTTTGAAATAAGTAATAAGTAGGAAGAGTATACTCTGTCATTTGAGTCTATTGAACAAAGATATCACTGCAAATAATAGTCAAACGGATTGTATGGTTTCTTGAAACTAACGAGCTTCATTGAAGCATACAACCTGTTTAGCAAAGGATTTATTTCACATTGATGTGTTTGATGATATTGTCATTGATGTTTCAAATCTTAAAGAGAAGATAAGTGATGAAATAAAAAGCTTACATCATTTGTATCTACTTACTATTAGTAATTGTCATGTGTGATATTTTATTGTGATAGGTTAACAATCACTTATCATGAGATTGTAATTGCTTTGTTGACTAATGTTTACAACATAATATTATGCTAACATCTTGCACATTTTATTTTTTCTAGTAAAGCATTGAATGTTATTCAAAATTGAACATATTCATGAAATGACAAACACATGAGATCAAAGAATAAATCCAAGTTCAAAGATACATCTCTAGAGATGAAAACAATATTCTATGGAAAATATGGCAAGAGTGATCATATTAAAAAGTAATGTCAAGTGAAGATCAAAGTAGTTGAAACTCCTTAAGCTAATGTGATTCAAATGTTTGATGTTGAATATGATGATTTTTTTAAATATAGTTTATGACATGTCTTTTGCAATTCATCAAGAAATTTTGGTCACACATGATTATTAGATCATGTTTGTTTTACATACGACAATTTTAATACTTCTTGTAGATCAAATGTCTCAACCGTGTAAGATTGAGTATATTAGATATATCAGAACTCAAATATTTAATGTAGTTTAACATGCATTGATTCATGTTAGACTTATATCTAATATGAAAAAATTTGATTTTTTTAAAAAGTTAAATTCAAAATTATTTAAATTGAGCTTTATAAAGATAATATTTGAGATAAAAATACGTGATAATATTATGTTAGAGTATCATGAGCACAAAAAATTATACATGCTAGAGTTTATTATCATGTGTGATGACTTTAACTTTACTCAATCTTGAGTTAATTTTTGTCTTATGTCTAACATTCTAGACTATGACACTGTAGTATTAGGTTATAACTATCATTTATTAGTTTGAATTAAAATAGAGTTTACTCTATTTTAATAGAATGATAGTGGAATATTTATAGATATCATGACAACAATCAGTGTGCTAGTTAGTGTTTTAGTTGGAAACAACACATCATCAATACATGTGTTTGTTAGGATATGATTGATTGTGTTACTTCGGAGCATCATGTCACTAATACATATGCTCATAAGATATATTCATCATGTAATCAATCCACTAGTAAGGATTGGATGGTAGAGATAAGACCTTATCTTTGTGTATGTGTTTGAGGTATATATTTAGAGGTGAGGTGAACCATTCGAGTTATTTCATCTTGAAAGTTTATGTTTCATATTCAAATGAGCTTTTTGCTAAAACTTAATGTTACATAAGTACATGACACTCCTTAATGATAAAAATCTGTTACTTGTCATAGATAAAATTGACTATGAAATTAAATTTTATGAACATTGTGTTATAAGCAAGCATCATAGAAAAAAATTTGATGTTAAAATTCACAATTCTAAAAAACTCATTTGACTATGTCTACAATAAAATGTGTAAAATATTCTTCAATTATGCACTCTTTGAAAAGTTATATTATGTATTTTTAATTGATGATTATTTAAGTTAGTGTTGATTTATCTTTTCATACAAAAGTTTGAAATTTTTACAACTTTGGTTGGTAAAAAACTCCAAGGCTAGATTGATAGTTAGAAATTTTACACAAAAAAAAGATGTGAACTACAATAATTTTTTTTCACCTAAAGCAAATTATGATACAATTTGACTTATAGGTGGATTTGCTGCAATATTTATTCTACTTATGAATTAGATGGATATAAGTTTAATATTTTGTCATGAATTTCAAAGAAATTGATATATATTAGACAAACAATTGACTTTGAGAAAAAAAAATTAAATTTTTTGATTCATAGATTGTTGAAATCATTCTATGGATTGAAGCAAACTCTTTTGAAAAAAATGAAAGATTGATAAATTTATGAAAGCTCAATTTGTTAAACTAAGTGTGTATGATTTATGTGTATAATGAAGAACGCAAATAATAAGATTTTCATTCTTATTATTTTAATTTTTGCAAGTATGATTTGCATATTGGGCAACAATTCAGACATACAATTTTAAATGCAAGAATTAGTTGAAATTTGCATTCAAAATTGAGGATTTGAATAAGTCTAAAAGTATATTATGGATGAATATTAAAAGTTTTTTGGATAAAAAAATACTATGGTAGAATAAAGTCAAGTAATTTCAATGCATGCTTCATGGTTATAACATGGTGAAATCTAAA